CCTGGCCGTTCCCGCTGCCGCTCGTCGTTCTGCGCTGCCACGAGGCTTCTGCTTTCCTACTGTAGAGGAGTCGTGTACGTGTATGAATAAAGTTGTGCCGGACGACCCGATGCTTTCATATGTTCGGGCGGTAGCTCGATTATGATATGTCGTTCACAGCGTTAGTCAGTGTGCTTCAAATCACCACCTGACAAGAATGAATATCCTTCAAGAATACTCCGTCTCGATTACACAAGTTGGATTGCACAATCTGGATCAGCTATGAAATTTCAATACATAAAGTCCGTTCTTTGCTTCATGGACATTCGCTAACGAAAGTGTGATTGGCAAGTGACTTTTGTATCGGCATCATGTAGAAGAAAACTCTTGTATTCAAACAAACACACCGTCTGCCGGACGGCCGGTCGACAACAAGGCGGCATATGTCGATGCACACGTTTTATCTGCCACTTGCGATGAATAAACTTTGTAATGACTTAGCGGAAGACACCAGTTTTTGCTTTTGAACTTCTGTCATTGTAATTCAAGCAAGATTTGAACAGCGGAGTAGATCTGATTTATTATATCTGATCGTTAATAATCATCACATCAGAGATTTGCTGCTTTGACACAGACGTTATTCCCACTCGCTAGCAAATTTTCTTCAACGGACTTGTACCAAATTTCAGATTATTATGGGTAGTAGTAAAATAGTAAGAAATTTACCTGAATGTCACCCGCGACTAATAATGTAAACATTATTACTATGCATACAACGCCAAAAATACAGGTGTTGATTTCTTCCATTCTAATCCGTGTTATCGGCGGTACAGATAGCGTAAGGTTATTTGTTCAGGTAGATTTTGCGGCGAATAATAAAATGAACTGAGGATCGCCTTAAAACTTCCTCTTCACACTGAGCGATGTTCAGTTTGTTGTGAGGTTCGGTTCCTTGATGATTCGATAGAAGGGGATCGGTGTACCGTTGAGAAGAGAATGTTCCGCCGCGTCGACTACGATGCTATCATCGCGCATCACGGTACTCTTTACGAGTGACCAGTAACTTCAGCACGCTCGTCATATGGTAATAGTGGCTAACTTTGAGGTCATCCAAGTAAGCAGGAACAACGTAGGGAGGCAGCGGATTCACACAGCCATGTCCGAAGAGCTGCAACATCCTTGCCTCACTCCAAGGTGCTTTATTGGTTTGAGAAACAAAAACATTTGTAAATTTGGCAGCTGGAATGAACTTTGTGACTCCCTCCCATCAGAAGCATTTGTCTATTTTTATGCTAAGCTGCTTCACGTAGGAGCCTGTTCCGCAACTGACCTGCTGACTGTTCTACAGTCCACAGATACGTCTTTTCATGCGCGTGAAACACGATGTCGACTGGCTTTTTAACATTTACTATTAGTGCCACGTTGCTCGAACAGGAGATGGCATCTTGTACTAGTGTTGGGAGCAGATTCTCATCGCCAGGGGTCATAAGAAGAATGACAGTGTTACCCGCGTGCCTGTTTCAACGTGGTGTTGAAAGCTGAGCTATAATCGAGGAACGCCGTTCTTATGAACCTGTTTCGATGTTGCATTATGAAGGAACACAAAAATGAGTTCATTATCGAATGATGGGCTGACATCGACGTTTAAGGTTTCATCAGACTTCTTCAGGGTAAAACGTTGCTGTTGGTTCGGGTTTTGAAACTAATTGTTTGCGGCAGCTGGTCCGTTTTCAGCCCGGAGTCAGAACGAACCGATTACGGTATACAACGCTAGCAGTAACCGAGTACTTTTCGAAATATCGCCCCGAAGAAGGCCCATGACACGCGGTCTGAAATGCGGCGCGATGAATCAGAAAGGCTTGATGGTCAGTTAGCCATCGTGGCTACTTGTTGCCTCAAATTCGCATTACGCAAGCGAACGTGGAGCACGTTTCAGTGGACGAGACCTTTTGACCGATGGCCACGATTTGCGTCATCTGCCACGGAAAATGGAACGATCATGCCGTTTCAGAACCGATCTGAAATAACGGAACACTTCATGCTAGATTGTGCTAAGTTCAGTGGTATTCTTCAGACTAAGTACCTGTCGGCATTCCGAAGGTTCTTTCCTTGTTGTGATCAGGGGTTATTGGCCTGGTGAATAACTGCTGCCCATTTTTTCGCCGTTATTGCCGTAATGCTACTGGAGTTCGGGCACGACTAATATGCAATCTTGAGTAATTTCCGTATTCGAAGTGGCGTTAATGATGGCGAAATGACTTTGACGCGAGTCGCTTCGCGCTTTCCGGTTCAAGAGGTGGATGCATCCGAAGGAATGCGGACAGAGGGACACAACGATAGACAGTGGCGTTTCTTGGCCTTTGCGAACCTGTTACTGAATAATCAAAACTATCTTGCGCATGAATATTTTGCAACGCTGTTATGATTCATTTTTCTTCTCTTCTTGCATGATAAAGAACTGGCTGAGTCGACGATGAAGATGTGTAATGCCCCCTGGTCACTGATGATACACGATGACAGTGCTTCTTGTTCGTCTCTCCGTAGGGCCAGTTATTTGGGTCGCAAAACTGTACAACATCATTGCCATGTACTTTATGTTTCATGCGTATTGTTTTCCACCGTTCGAGGTTCCTTCGGGTATCATGGAGAGACGTGAGGCGACATCTACTTCCACCATATGTTCTTCGTTGTGTTGCAACGTGAAGTTTGTTGTCATGCCACTTAACTGATTCTTTATTATGTATCTCTAAGCATCAGTACAGAACATCGTTCCTTCTAGTGCGTGTGGCCGTTTGCCTGAAGTTTGACATGATCAAGTAAAGTTGAGGATCCTAACGTCTTTCTGGGTCGGCTTGGTTCTTCTGGCCGTTGCTTGTTACTCTGTTTTTCGTGGGCAGTCACAGCATGGTAGGACCGGTCCTCGAGAAGCGCCATGACAACAGCGATGATGACTTGTTCGATTTCACTCCCTCGCCCTCGCAGATTTGGACCTGACCGTAAATCTAACTCGAACGCGCCACCCGGCGTCATGGTGATTGAAGTTGGCCGACTGCAACTTCGTCTGTTCGGCTGTGTTCAGTTCTAACCAACCATCCGGTAATTGATTGCCTTCCAGTGGCGGAGAGACGGCGGGGTGCTACAGTCTGTGGATCCGTCCTGCCGCCTTACCATAGGCCCTTCATTCCGTTCGATTCGGACGTGACCTTGTATCTGCAGTGTCTTCCCCGAACCGAGCAAGAGACGGCTCGTTTCGACACGGCCAACGATCATCACTTTTTTCATCCGCTCATTTTCTTCTTGTGTGCATCATCGTTTCGAAGCACTTTCTTTGTCTTACCGACTTCGAACTACTCGTCGGTGTCAGTTTTACGGTCGTGCACTTTAACCACTTAAAATTCCAACTCGAGCGAGACTTATTTTTCGGACGTTGGCCGATACCTTGGATTTGATTACTGTTGCGATCCAGTTCTGAGTTTTAACTCTCTTAGTTAATATTTGAATACGAAAAATTAATAATGGACAGTACCAACGAAATATTTGGGAAAATATTATCAATTCTGATCAGGATGGCTGAAGGTCGAGACGAAAATTTTAAACGTAACTCAAGAATAATGCTATAAGAAAGAAGGTGTAGCATTTCTGGTGTTATGGTCACGAGGAAGCGTCAAAGTTCAAAAAACTATTCGCTTCAGACGAAATATACTCGTCTGTCGCCGATGCAACTACTGAATGGAAAAACAGAAGTATGGTGCTAGATGTGAGGCAGTTCTACAGTTTGAAGAAAAATGGCTACTTTTCAATAAACTCTTTCGACTGATTAGCAAGTTAATCTACC